TAGACATGAAGTCATACAGAAAAAGTTAAATCGTTGAGAATGTAACATCCTAGTTGAACTGTGGGAATCGTGGTTCAGCAACTGCAAAGAGAGGTTTGGCAAGGAAGCCAGCATCCATTCCCTCTGCTAAATCAATTTGCGAAAGACCTGATGGAATCTTCCAGTTAAAGCATTGAAGAAGTCTGGCCAGCAACATTACAGTGAGTGTGGAACCCAGAAGGACTCCCGGACATCCACGTCTTCCAGTGCTGAAGGAAAACATGTTTAATTCTGGATCGTTCAGATCCATTCTAGCATCATCCATGTCATTCATGTGGCGCTCAGGCTTGAACTTTAGCGAATCCCCCCAAATTCGAGGATTACGGCCAAGTCCTGGACGGCACAGGATAACATGGCTACCTTTCGGCATGAAGTAGCCACCAACAACTGTGTCCTGAGTAGATACATGAGGAACATTAAAGGGTGCATATGGATGGAGCCGAAAGGCCTCTTTTGCGCAGGCCTTCACATATTTCAGCCTCGCAAGGTCAGATTCTTGAACAAGTCTATCCTTTCCAACCACGGCGTCTATCTCTTCTGTGGCTTTTTGAAGCATTTCAGGTTGATTTAGCATCTCTGCTAATGCCCATTCCACAGCATTTGATGGATTGTCGACTGTTGCAAACATTAGTTCCTGTGGAGCATCACAGTAAAGTTAAAAGTGAAACAAATAATCCTTATTTTCCAAATTCAATAGCCGATTCTCTACTACAACATCATATTGCAAGTTGCATTTTGGTGGTGACTAAGGCTCATTGAGATTCTATCCTTTCTGATTTCAGTTAATCAACAAATTGCTTGAGCACGCATAAACCACATCATTAAAACGTGAGTGAACAAGATGATGTTACCTTACATCATCTTCTGTACATCATTTGATGTGGACATGGTTTTACGTCGAGATTCCATCCTTTCTGATTTCAGTTAATCAACAAATTGCTTGAGCACACAAAAACCACGTCATTAAAACGTGAGTGAACAAGATGATTTCATCTTACATCATCTTCTCATCTTCTGCACATCATTTGATGAGGACATGTTTTTACGTCACCTTTTGTGCGTTATTTTATCTTAAGTTCTACTAACCAACGATGTGGGGCGTTTTGGAATATACTCCCTACGATTGATTTTGTACCAGCTTTTATTCTTCTGTCAGTCTATCCACGTTTGATCCCTGATAACTCCTAGTAGAATCTCCAAATTGTTAAGTACTATTTTTAACTGTTCGGTTTTCAAATAGAATCCCCCCCCACAAAATCAATTATTTCAAGAAAAACCAAAAATTGACTTATTCTCTCTTTCTTCTTTCTCCAATTCAAGATTAAATTCTATCTATCATCCCTTGCCCGTATTTATCTCTCTCCTTCCCTTCTTCTTCTTCTTTTTATCTCTATTCTTATCTCTTTTTTGCAAATATGATTAGATTCATCCTTTTTATCCTTTTAATTCGAAGTGTAATGGGTTTAATTTTTCTGCGTCTATTTATTTTATCCAATGTCGGTTGATTATGGGTGATAAAACTTAGTGATGTCAAAAGTCAAGAATTTAGGGGATGGATGGGCTTTAGAAATGGGTGGTTGAAAATAAAATAAAGGAGGCTGCAAAGAGAGGAAGACAAAAGAGCTGCGCTATTAATTGTTGATGAAGTGTTAGTTTTGGGTAAAATTTGAGGTTGAGTTTTATCCAGTTTAACACCAAGTAACGGATTTAATTGACTTGTGTAATAAATGTAGGAGTTGAAGCAACTGGACAAAAATTAGGTTCTAGTGTTTTGATTGTTAGAATTATTGGAATTTATTTTGATTTAAATTGGAGTGTTTGCTTGGCTTTTGTGGTGGTGTTGCTTGGAAGAAGGCAATCATCATAGTTGAACTTTTTTCCAAACTTTTATTTTTGGCAAAAAGAGTTTGTTGGTTTTGGTGTTGAAATAAAGGCAATCAACAAAACTCTTTATTTTTCCTTTTTATCTTTTTGACAAAAAATGTAGTTTAGGATATTTGAAGGAATTGGTAGCCCACTAGGCCTCTTTTGAAGCATAAATAGTGAAAGTAAGGGAGGTAAGTGTAATTTTTTAAAGCTAAGGGGAGCTTTCTAAAATCGTTAGAGACCTCAAAGGAGGTTTCTGAAATTATCCCTTTAATTTATCCCATTTTTTAAGAAATTGTTTATGCAACCAAGCATCAGGATAGAGGATTCCTTACAGTAATTTGTGCTCTGATCTCCTCAGTTGTTAAGAGCGGTCTGCCTTTGTTATCTTTGAGCCTGATTAGGACATCCAGAAGGTCTTCTTCCTCATTTTTCAGGCCACTCTCCCACGTTTTAATCCTTTTCTCAATTTCAGGATCTTGGTGCCTTCGTACACATGCAATGGCCATGGTAAGAACCTTTCTGTGGCCATCAAAATAAAAAATCTTCATCCAGGGCATGTAATCGGATAAGCTAAATGCATACATATAAGCAAGGAGTTTGAAGAGTGCATTAACATGTTCAACTTCCTCAGCACCTGGTCCTCCATCTTCCATTCCTTTCCCGAAGAATCTCTTGTTGAAAATCATCTTTCTAATCACATTTCCCAAGTAGTGTCGCGTAGCCAATCTTATGTCCACTAGCCCAGAAGTGGCGTCGTCCTTACACTGATTGTAAACATAGTTAACCAAATGATCTGGTTCCTCTGCTCGCTTGCTATGAAGCCATTGGTGTTTAGCAGGTGACAGCACACTGGAAACGATCATTCTCTTCATTTTCTTGTATTGATCGCCCAAAGGAGAAAGGATTGTCGTCAAGAATCCTTCACTACTAAGTTCTGCAGACATGCAAACAGTTCTGTTGGAGAAAATCGAGTCGTGTTTCTTGAAGAACTCGCGAGCGAGTTCAGAAGAAGTGACAGGAATGATGTGAACACCGAAAATGCGGAAACAAGCGATTTCGGTATTCATTTCATCCATGACTTTGTATATCCATCGATGTGTTGGCCTGTTTCTCAGCATCTGGAAAATGCAACCAAAGAAAGGCAAGGGTTTTGGGCCAGGAGGGAGAGGGAATCGAGGTTTGTTGTTCTTTAGACAAATCATTATCCATTTGCCCATTGTAAAGACCAACAAAACCAGAGCCATGAATCCTGAGAAATATGGGATGCATGACATTGAGGTAAATCTCAAGCTTGAATCAACACGAAGACCGGATGTGCAATTCATCACTTAAGACAGTATGAAAAGGTTATTAGGCTATGTAAGCTTGTTTATTCTTATCACACAGTCTAAGATGGGGTGTAGGTAATTGTTGTTGATGGTCTGTAAAGACTAAAGAATGCGATCATGCGAGCTTTTATAGAAGAGACTTGTTGCTAGCGGTCACATATTTATGACTTTGCAGTACTGTCCCGGTTGAACAAGGGACCTCATTTTTTTACGTACACGGTCCTAAGGAGGTCGAAGGGGGATCCACTGGCGAAATTTTTTTTATTTTTATACCTACTCCTATACTGGGGAAGCGACTTAAAGAAGTCAAAGGGAAACACTGGCAAAATTTTTAGGAAAATCTAGATATTCAGGGATTTGATCTCTTGACCGTCACCAAAGTAGAATTTTAAAAGTCTTTTGATGAACAAGGAACTTAGCCAAGTTGGATTTTAGGAACAACACATATTTTGTCCATGCAGCATCTCTTTTCAACAAAATAAGTTCGTAACAGCACTAAATATAAGCAATACATATTATGGGTAAATTAAGTTCATCATCTAATATTTTGTCTATGTGAAAATAAAATAAATTAACTTTTAAATGAAATAGATTTTACTATAAATTAGTTGAGTTGTTCTACAAAATCATTTATGAACGTCGACACTAAAAGAAATACTTGAAAACTTTACTATTCATTTATTAGATTTTACCACAAAGGAAAGACAAAAAAAAAATAAAGGTTTTTCAATCCCTAGAAACTCTCCAAATTGGTATTATTTTACACTAGTTATTGCAATTAAAACCCCTAATTACAAACATTTGAAACCTATGCTACAAGTCATGCAAGAATTTGTATAGTATTAGTTTGACTAAGTTTTATCAAAATTAGATTGTTGCTATCCTTCCTTCAATTTTTATTTTTTTGTTACTGTTTGATTTGCCGTTTAATTTAAACTAATTTGATAAATATGGCACACTTTAGGACAAATGAAATGTGTTGTGGTAATATGAAGTGCTTTTTGAGATTTTTATCAAGATTTTGAAGAAATATTTATGATATCATTAGCATGATAAGTGCTTTATAATAAAAAATTATTATTCAGACTCCACTTGTAATTTCATCAGGTAGCCTGCGTGGAACAGAATACCACATTGTCACTGCAAGTGTTTGAGAATGAGTTCCTGTTTTATCTAGGGAAAATGTTCAAATGCGTCCCCACACTTTTTGTTAATATCGATTTAATCTCTAACTTTTATTTTTGATCAATTTGATCCCTAAACTTATGTTATGGTTCCAATTAAGGATCATTACGGTAGCGCCACCATGAAAAATCGATCAAACTCCTCATTGACCAATTAAACGGGGGTATTTTAAGAACTTAATTTAGATATCTCTTCCCTCCATCATCAATCCCCACCGCCTGCCACCCATCTCCTTCTTCTTCTCCCACATTTCTTTTCCCTCCCTCTATCATGTCAGTAATCTTTGTTGCAGTCTGCTAACCAGTCCTTGAGCAGCCCTTGAGCAGATTGTAAGGAGAGTGTTCCAAAAAAATCCAGCAAAAAACCAGGTTTTTCTTGATCTCTCTGGTGTCAATTTTCTCTAGGATTGCTTTGGTATCATTCTGCAAATTTGTGCAATTATAGACTAGATAATTTTGGTACCTATCTTCTCTGAATAAAAGAAAAGATTCCTTCTAGTTTTGAGCCTTACAGTTTCATAATCTCTGAGAAACTTGAAAAAAGGAAAAGAAAAAAGAAGAAATAAAAATAAACGCCCAGATGGCTGATCCTCCAGACAACAAGGTGCTTAATACCACCCAAGAAGATGATGGTAACGTTGCTAGGTTCAGTGCACTTCCAGACTATGTACTGCTCTATATCCTCTCATGTTTCTACACAAAAAGTGCTGCAGTCACCCCAGTATTGTCCAAAAGACGGAGAAACCTTTTTGTTTTGCTTCCTGAAATTGATCTATATTTCTTAGGGTACAAGGATGTTCCTGACCGTGATAGACTGTACTCAGATTTTATAAATTTCACAAATAGGGTGATCTAACAGCGAAATGAAGATCCAATTAGAAGAATTCGACTCGTTGTGAGCCATTTTTTTGGAAAGGCACCAAGTTTGTTGGAGATATAAACGTTGGGCCTTAGACTCACCCTTCTGTCAAAGTAAATAGGAGGAAAGGAATAAAAAAAGAAAAACCTAGGTTCCCATATTACACTATGGAAAGGGAAGCACACTTGAGAAATCTTGATGAATATCACAGAATATCTAGGCAACTAGAAGCAAAACACTGATTGTAGTTAGTTAAACCGGTGTATAGTCCGCTAACCAGTCCCAGAAGTCAACTATTGCATCCCAATCCTAATCGATCTTCAGTTGCGAACTTTATAGAGATGATTGACATGACTAAGGGAGGGAAAAGAGAGCTGGGAAAAGAAGAAGGAGATGGGTGGCAAGTGGTTGGGATTGATGATAGAGGGAGAAGATATTTAAAATTTCTAAAATATCCCGGTTTAATTGATTAATGAGGAGTTTGATCGATTTTCCATGGTGGAGCTGCCATAGAGATCCTTAATTGGAACCATAACATAAGTTTAGGGATCAAATTAGCTGAAAACAAAAGTTAGAAATTAAATCAACATTAATAAAAAGTTTAGGAATGAATTTGGTCATTTTCCCTTTTATCTATTGGACGGTACATATTAAGCTACTTGTCCACCATTTGGTTTGCTAGGGAATTTGGAAAGCATCTGCTATATACTTAGGGGGCGTTTGGTAAGAGGGTATCGGATTCGGGGAATGGAATGAACCCCATAAATGGTGTTTGGTTCACTGGAATGGGAATTGAAATCTTGGAATGATTTCTAAAAATTTGGTGTTTCTCCATTCCCAAGTATTTTGGTGGGTTTTGTCCGATTCCCAAGTTTGATTCCAAGAAACAAATCCAATTACATATTATAATTATACAATGATATAATTAATATTTATATATATTATATATTATAATATATACATATATATAATATATTATAATTATAATATTAGTACATTATATAAATATATATTATAATTATTTAGTTAAATATAATTATATTCATATAATATATATTATAAATTTATTAATATTATATAATAATATATTTATAATATATATGTATATTTATAAATGCATATTATATGTGCATATGATTATAATATACACATGTATATAATATTAATAAATTATATAATTGTAATTATATTTATATTTATTATTTAAAATACAATAATATATAATAATTACTATATCTAATATTAATATGCATTATACTTATATAAAATATGAGTACAATTAATATTTATATATTATATAATTATAATTATGTATTTATTTTATAGCGTTTGTATAATTATAATTAATTATATATATAATAATTAATTTAATTAGTTACAAACTTATAATAATGATGTTATTGTATTATATAATTATATATTATAATTATTTAGTTAAATATAATTATACTTATATAATATATATTATAAATTTATTAATATTATATAATATTATATTTATAATATATATGTATATTTATAAATGTATATTATATGTGCATATAATTATAATATATACATGTATGTAATATTAATAAGTTATATAATTATAATAATTATTATTTTAAATATAATAATATATAATAATAACTATATTTAATATGTAATATATATTATATTTATATAAAATATTAGTATAATTAATATTTGTATATATTATATAATTATATAATTATATAATTATATTTAATTATATATATAATATTTAATTATATATATAATATTTAATTTAATTAGTTACAAACTTATAATGATAATATTATTATCTAAATTTACTAATACATTTATACTAATATATTTACTAATACATTTATACTAATATATTTAATTAGTGAAACTTTCTTATATCTCATTTATAAAGAGCCAATAATTATCATTTACGATATGGTTTATAATATATTTATTATATTCCATTCCGAAAGAGTCGACGAACCAAACATCAACTATAGTAATGATACACATTCCAGGTACTTGAACCAAACAAATATATTGGAATGAATGACCTCATTCCAAACCCAGGATATCCGATTCCGAATCCGATTCCGATGTGCGAACCAAACGCCACCTTAGTTTTAGTCTCGAGCGATAATACAGCCCATGAAGTATCTTTTCCAAATCAACACATTTATAATTGCACTAAATATAAGAATACATACTTTGTATCGATTAATTTCATCATCTTATTTTTTTCACTTTAAGATATAATCAATTAATTTTCAAATGAGATAGGTTTCGTATAGAATTAATCAAGCTATTCAATACGCGGGCAACTTGAAAGAAAAACTTTGAAACTTCATTATTGGATTGTTAGATTTTACTAGCAAGGAAATTTACGAATAAATATTTTTTTCTAAAAAACCCTGAAAACTCTTCATATTGCTACTACATTCATTAGTTATTAGAATCACAAACTCTAGTTACAAACACTTTGAAATCGATATCCACAGGTCAAGCACTTTCTGTAGTATTAGTTAGAATAAGTAACATCAAAATTACAATAATTTCTATTAGTCTTTCTCTAAATTTTAGTTTATTTGTTTCTGCATCGTGAAGCAGTTGAAATTAATTTAAGAAACATGGCACTTACTTTTAGATACTTTTAGCATAAAAAGTTTAGGATATCATTAGTAGAATTAAGCAGTAACCACGACTCTGCACGCGGGCCAAACAAGAGTGTAGCTTTGGGATAGGTAAAAGAGAAATCCAAATTCTCTCATAAATAATAAATTTGTGGGAAAAAGTTCAATCTTTTTACCAATATAGATTCAGTGTCTAAAATTTTATTTTTTAGATAATCTAATGTCTAAACTTATATTCTTTTTTTGTCGTTGAAGTCTTTTAGAGCCAAAGTCGGTATCACTAGCGGTGAAACAAATGTCAAGAACAAGTCATGTCACGTCATTCAATTTGAATTAATCATGCTCAACAGTTCTTCAATAATTGGGTTGTTTTACCACCAAATCACTAGTGTATTAGTAAAGAGATAGGGGCACAACCACAACCATCGTTGTTCTAATAAATTCACTGAGTCGTATCATTTTACCACTTTGTTGTGCTGTAAAAGAGAAAGAATTATTTATTTGCACCACTAAAAGTAGTGATTTCCCTAAAGAATATGTTCAATCTATTTACGTAGTCTCCCTATCAAAGAAAAAAATAAGTCACTTGCAAATATTTTATTCCACTCTCTTTCATTTTCACTTACATATCCTGTCTATTTATCCTGAGTTGTCCTTTTTCTCTTGCTTTCTTTCTAGAAACTCGAAAACAATTTTGTGTACGACCGATGTGGAGGGTACAGATTGATCATTTAGTTGTTGTTTGGCATGTCCTGTCTGTTTCTCCAAATGGATGAATATGTAAATGATCACATTCTCAGGCATAATTGTGAAGCTGGCCCTCCTATGTCATGAATGGCAGTTTGCCACGAGAAATGGGTTAGAATAAACGAAAAGAAAATGATAATAATAATTAAATAAGACCCCAAAAAAAAAAAAAAAAAACAAACAAACAAACGATCGCCAGTGGGACGACCGGGAAAACTACGTGTCCCACCTAGTGGGGATTCTTAGAAGATTCACACATAAATTAACCAATGCAACAATGTACGTGGAAGGTAGCCCATGCACGCAATAACTTGTCTTATCCAAAGATAATGATTGTGCCTTATCCAAGTTCCTTTCTTTATTTCTCGTCATATGCAGTTTCATATTTGGTGGTCAAAAGGATCTACAAATATGAATTTAGTTTTTATATTTACGTTTTTTACACAAGGTGGATGACTATTCTCGTCCATTAGCATCAGTCTCAGAATCTGCGGATAATTTTCATAAATTTGGGCAAAATTAGCTCCTCACTTAATACACTATAACAAGTTTTCAAAAGTTAAAATTGACAGGCTTAAGTATGTCAGGTAGATAATGATCATAGTTTAATGTGCACTGAAAACGTTTTATTGAAATAGGGAAAAAGAAATGGAAAAACTCTCCTTCATAGTGAACCAAGAAAGAAAATTTAACCAGGTCACACTTAGCATCAAAATTAACATATTATATGAACCAAGATAGCTAATGGTAACAAGAGCAAAAAAAAAAAAACATGAATTTACGACAATTGATGTCTAAAAATTCTTAGTGATGGCACTTTATCATACACACAGCAAAAAAAAAATAAAATTACACGTATTTACAACTATTTAAGAAATTTCCTAACATCATAAAATTTCACAAGGTACAATGGAGAAAGCATTATACTAACCTTTGAAATTGTAGAACTGAATTATCACTAAGGATTCAGGGTTGTATAATAACGAATAAGTTTCCAAGAGTAGTTATTGACATTTTAAAAGGATGCAACTACAGACAAAAAAAAGGGGAGGGGGAGGGAGAGTAGGAAAAGAAGAGATTAAATCAAGGAAAGCACCTCTCAACAAAAATAAAAAAGAAAAAGAAGATAACAGATAAAGTCTGCACATGATTATTTTTCCATATCGGGACTACAATTAGTCTACATGACAATAAATAAATTAACAAGGGAGTAAAGTTTGAACATGCATTAATTTGGAAATTATTTTCAAGAAGAAGATTATTGTGGCCAAAAACTAACTATTGACAAGGAGCTAAATTTCGAAGTTGATATTCACCAAAATAGACTGCATGTTCAGATCTTTTTATTCCATAAAGATCTCAAAGCAAATGTCTAGATCTAATGCAACTATTTGTATATCTTTTTCACCAGTTGAATTGTTGAAATCTTTCTAATATTCTAAGATGGACTAGGTTGGCGGCCTTCACTGCACTTGGGAGGGGTGCCCGCCTAAGGTCTACCAAAGTGGCAAAGCCTATGGACTTTATTTCCACAATAACCTCATTCTTTAAAACTATTCCTAAATTAATGCACTTTCAAAATATATTCCCTT